GCAGCGTTGAGTTTCCCCAACGCCTGAATCTGTCCGGCAAGACAAACCGATAGCAGCGTTGAGTTTCCCCAACGCCTGAATCTGGACGTGTTTGTGGAGATGTGTAGAAAAAGCGTTGAGATTCCTCGAACGCACATAGCCACAAACACGTCCAGATTCAGGCGTTGTGTAAACTAGTGAGACTTGGCCCCCGGCCACAATCAGTGGTGGCACCACCAGCCAAAAAAAAAAAAAAAAGTGCGCTGCCGCTGGCAGTTAAGCAAAGCTTGGCAAGCAGTGGAAGACCGCCAGGCCCGGGTGTGCTGGTGGTTTAAATAATAAACATTACCACAATCCCAAAAAAAAAAAACACATAAAAAAAAAGAAGGATGATGACTCGAGTCGTCAATCAGGGGTCATTCTCAAGTAAGAAGGGAGTAGGCACAAATATAATTGAATTATTATAATAATAAAGCTGACTTTCCGAAAGAGAAGAAAAAGGAGGGGGAAAAAAAAAAAAAAAAAAAAAGAGGAGGAAGTGGGGAACCATATGTGCTTTGGATGATCATCACAGCATTCATCCAGCTGGTGTGTCATCATCAAGTCGAAACCGGGTAATGGCCCTGGCAATATGATTGTACATCATCATGCTAAGCAAAACCTTTCGGGGGAGAAAAAAAAAAAAGATGCTTCTGACTCTTCTGAGTGTCCTTATCCCGAGGCCAATTTCTGCCATGTGTTGGGTTTTGTCGAACTGGCGCTGGAGTGAGATTCTTTTTGGCACGAACTGGGAACCGGGCCCAGCGTCCCATAACGAGTACAGTCAGAAACCTCATCAGAAAATTTCCTGAAAATGAGACTAGAAACCTAGTAGAGAATCCAATCGGCCCCTTTTTTTTCAGAATATATGTCGACAAGCCTCCCAACCACTAACCAGATAGGTAAAACCTGTTCAATCCACCCTCGACCATCACCAGCATGGCTGTATCCAGCACGAACCCAAGCTCTTCCCGGCCTCATGCTCGGGGCGTGAGGCCAGGTAGAGAGATCTGGGGGGCTGTTTGTGGGGGCAGTCCTTGTGGTCATCGGGGGCCGTGGACTGAAGCAATGCTGGTCGGGGCTGGAGCAAGGTGGTGCAACTCTGTAACCTAGCCTGAAGGGAGCATGAGGCCGGGAAGAGCTTGGGTTCGTGCTGGATACAGCCATGCTGGTGATGGTCGAGGGTGGATTGAACAGGTTTTACCTATCTGGTTAGTGGTTGGGAGGCTTGTCGACATATATTCTGAAAGAAAAGGGGCCGATTGGATTCTCTACTAGGTTTCTAGTCTCATTTTCAGGAAATTTTCTCTACTAGGTTTCTGAATGTACTCGTTATGGGACGCTGGGCCCGGTTCCCAGTTCGTGCCGCTTTGCGAGGATATGGTTGTATCTATGAGACGCTGCACCCGGTTTCCAGCAGGTGTTGCTCCCCACCAATAGATGGAGCTTTGTTTAAAAAA